AGCATAAACCATGTGGGGCCCACATATACATGTTGGCTGGGTAGCTTCTACATGAATAGAAGCTTCTGCTGCTCAGCACGGACTCTGCCACACCATTTCAGTTTCATACTCATTCATAAACCCCCAAATGTATGCCCCCTCTCATTGTACCTCTGTATATCCACACACTGACATGCACACCGCTTCGTTGCCACAGTAACTCCATAGCGCTGCATTATTCATGGGAAAGTAAATTGACTTTCACATCAGCAAGCTTTGACTAGTCTTGCGCAGACAAACCTTTGACTGTTGGCATAAAGTTTGATCCACAATTGCAGCTTAGCATGGCCAAGATGCAGAAAGAAGTCATTATAGCCCTGTTTCCCCCGCAGGAACTTTTCCCAGGAACTAGGGACCTTGGACCGGTACTCGGTGTGTTTCCACCACAGGAACCAGGATCTAAATAAAGTTCCGGATAAAAATGTACCCTCAGAAAGTCCCTGCTTGCGAGGTAGTACTTTTTCAAAGGTCTGGAATTTCGGGGGTGGGACTTGGGTGCTGAGCATGCTGATTGGTTGAGTTCACGCAGCATTTTATTTCAACCACCATATTCGCATTTTTATTATTTTTTTTTTTAAATGTTACTGTTATTGTGTCATGAAATGTAGTTTTAAAAGTATTTCAGGCAAGAATGTAGTTGTTTAAAACTCAAATCTGCGGTTTATTTATGAAGACAGCGCCTATTTGAAAATGTGCTTCACTGATTTTGGAGACGTGTGCTCCACGCGATCAGCGGGTGCTCAGTGCTCATATATCCCCAAAGAGGACCATAACCTCCGCTAGTCCTTCTAACATTTGCCGCTGGCTCTGATGTCTCTGTAGTGGTTAAACAAGATGTAATTCGTTTTGGGGAAATCTAACAGGTAATCTTTGGTCTTTATTCTATTATTCTATTAATCTATTAATATGTTAAAATTAAAATTAAAAGAGGCAATACTGTTTGATATAATATTTCATTGTAATGTATGTACGTTCCCTGAACTATATTTCTGCAGCTATTAATATGTTTAAATGAAACCGAAAAGAGGCAGTGGTGTTTGATATCATATTTCATCTTATTGTAAATACAGTGAGGAAAATTGCAGTAGCCAAGGTGAGCTGACTGATGTTATCAAGTACGCTGCTCTTTGCAGAATTACCGGACTTGCGTCGTCCCGTCCCCGGGAGTTAACACTCCCGAGTCGAACTTGCGAAGTCCAAACTACCGAGGATGCAAGTCCGAAATTTGCATACTTTGTATTGAGAAACGTGCGCAGACCTACTTCACCAAACAATTTGCCTAATCTTCTCATTAGACCTCGATGCCCTACTCCCTATGCCCTACTCCCTTCGAAGGGCGATGCCCTTGAAGTGTGTTCTTTGAGGGTGTAGAACATTACTCTCGTATAAGTGTTTGGAACTCCCTCGGGGAAGGGAGTGACTGACCAAATGTTAACTTGACAACGCTGCGCATGTATGCATCATTCAGCACTCAATCAGTTGTTGTAAATAAATATTTCTTCTAATTGTTGTTTTATTCAAATATTGTCTAATTGTGTCTTATTTACTATTAAAGGGGCCATGAACTGTCTCTGTTTTTTATTTTGTACTGGTCTCTGAGGTCCACTTATAATGACTTTTATACCAAAAAACATCATAATTTAGAAGTAATAGTCTATTTTCTGTCCTGTTTTTGACCTATATAGAAATATCATATATTATATATCTAGTTCCATTTTAACTTTCTAACTTTCTGCTTAATATGTAGTTTCCTTTCTTCTTTCATACCTTCTATGTTTCTTGATATCTACCTTAATACCTTCCTGCATATCTACCTCTGTTACCTTTATTTTTAACCTTCCCTACCAGAGATTGGAGAATCCATAAAATTTGTAATTTAATATAATGAAATACTAAAGATTTCATGTTAAACTAATGAAGTATGATTTGATTTTTAATGTAAGAATATAGGTGAGTCGCTTCAATGATATTGTCTGCTAAATCAGGGATCCTTTTAGGATATGCGCCCCCCCCCAAGTTTGTTTAATTTCACTCGCGACCCCCCAACACCCCTAGGAATACATGATAATTCACCAGCTCAGTGGATTAAAGAAGTATGGCTCTCAGCAGCGGAGACGACACAACCCAGCTTGCGTCGCCGAGCTCGCGGAAGAATGCACCGGTTGTGGCGCACGTTGGAGATCTGATCGACATTGATCCGCACTCGGAGCTCATCTTCGAAACTCCCCCGCCTGATGTTGTCGACACGATCAATGAGTGTTTTGAGCAGTTCACCAGCACCGTGGAGAAAAGAAGTGATGTCCACCAACCTTCTTCGGACAGGTAAACAAGACTTGTATTGGAAACTAGACGTGCGGTTGTGTTGCTTCTATTAATCTTTAAATATTTTGCCTCGTATACCTCGGTGAGAGGCTAAACATACACTGGAATCAATTTAACCTAAGTCAGGTGTTTTCAACCTTTTAGGACATGCCCCCCCAAGTTTGTCTAATTTCCCCCCCACCATTACTGTATTCACACCGAATTACTTTATTAACATCAACATAACGCAAATTTCCATTAAAGCTATTAAAGCAGCGAATTGTTTTTCTTTTGCTCTTTTTGATTAACAATTATATAAGAAATGCACGGATCCGTTATACTGATGTGCATCTGATATTTTCTTTACTGTTCACATTCACTTAAAACAACCAACTGTGCTTACAAGGATACTTGTCAAAACAGCCATTGGTATTCACCTGCTGTCTGAGAAGGCTATCTGTTTGTGCACTTCAGATGTGTGCGCAGTGCGCATAGAAACGCTTTATCGCAGCGCGTGCGTACCGCACTGAGATGTCTTGGGCTTAAATGGCTTAAAATTACTTTAATGTTTAAACTGACAAGACTTAAAACACGTCAAAATGAAAAACTTTCTTGAGGAAGCAGCACTGGCCTGATCATTAAGATAGTTTTGGGGGGCTAAGGTGACAGATAGGGGGGCTGAAACCCACCTAAAAAGGGTTTAGAGTTTAGGGTTTAAAAGGCCCCTGGTATAGCGTGCATAATTATTCTGAAACATAAATATATAACCAGTTTACCTGATTCAATGTGATGGCTGAGCCTGTTTCTGAGATAACAACCAATCCGTGGTTGGATTTCCGACACGACTAACCATGAATCATCTTACACTGTCAATAAGCGTGACTGATACTGGAGCCAACTCTGCTCTAACTGTCGACTAGCAGTGGGAGTCAGATTACCCCCTAGTGGATGGCTAAAGATTTGCTAACTCATATTCATAAATCCTCAAGGGAATGTCTCTGAATTAACTGATGCTCCCGCCCCCCTTGACAGGTGCTGGCGCCCCACAGGTTGAAAACCCTTGTGCTAAATGAATACATATAAATCTAAACTACACTGAAAAAAATTATACTTTGGACCAACCTAAAACAATTACTGTAATTTGTTACAGCTAAATTTATTAGTTTTTCTCAAACTATATTTTTGATTTGGTTGAAACTTTAAATTTTAATTTAATATCAATCAAAATAGTTCTTCTGCCCAAAATTAAAAATTACATTGAAACAAAGTTAAAATATTGCTTTTTATAGAGACCAAATCATTATTTTTTACTTTGGTACAACTTAAAATTTTTACTTTGGAAAAACTTACTTTTTACCGTAACATCCAAGTATAATTTTTACTTTGGACTAAACTAAATAAATTGCTGTAATTTTGTTACAAGCAATTTTATTACATTTACTCAAGTTGAATTTCTGATTCAGTACAAACTATATTTTTAATAACACCTAAATCTATTTATTTTCTTTAGTCACAAGAAAAAAACTTTACTTAAATGTAGGTCAATATATATTTTTTGCTTTGTTACAACTTAAATTTTACCATGAACAAAAGCTAAATTTGATTTAATATAAAAAAAATTCACTTAAAATAAAAAAAAAAACATTGTCAGTAAATGCTAATTTAGTTGACTTACTATAAATAAAGACAGGAAGTGTTTGAGTTCACTTGGGTAGCTCAAATTTAGAACGTAGATTAGGCCAAACAACATAGCACATGCATGTGGGACTGATGGCAAGTCATTAAGGACCTGCACCCCTTCGATAACAATTCCAACGTGATGTGGTGGCTGGAGAGGATCCTCATCTTCCTTGAAGACATACACTGCCATTGTACATCTTTGAAGCTCTGCTTCAGCTTCATCCTTCTGAACAACCTAATAAAAGACGAAGACAAGACATTTATTACAAAGTTATTTTGATGAAATCAGTGAATGATGTCTATATTAAAAATATGAAAAAATAAAAATAAAAAAATTCTCCCAATCAAATCTCAAAAAACAAATTGAAGGTCTAGTAATAAGAAAATGTAATGACTTGCAAAGTCCAGCAGATACTTAATGTTGACTCTTCCAAATATTTTTCTCATAGCAACTTGACCCAAGTATTTGCATTTCCACATTCATTGAAAGACTAGGAAATAAAAAAAAAGCATGGTATATTTGCATTTAATTTATAGAAACAGTTTGTTGTTGTTTTTTAACTTTAATATTTTAGATAAATTAAGGACATTTGAAGCTGCAAGAAATCACAGCATTTTTTTATACTGTCTGGTAAAATAAACCACATTAAATTGGTGGGTAACTTCTTGATTAGTTTTGATTTGGGGTTATTTTGTATTTGTAATTCTCGAAATGTAATAGAAAAAAATCAAATAAACTAAATACTGACATGGTGTAACAAACTATATTTTCATACGGTCACGTACCTCTGTGGTAATTTAAAAGCTATTCTCTAGTGTTAGTCATTCCTATATAAAACACATGAAAATAATGTTCACATTACTTTGGGACTCACCAAATTCAGCAATAAGGGCAAAATTCTGGAATTTCCAGGAAACAAAATCCAACCTGTAAGTAAAACAGAGAAAAAGGTGAGATCTCACATTTTAGTTTTTTGTTGGGGCAGTTAGCACCATCCATAATAATCACTACAGACTGTAATTATTAATTAGACCTTAGATATACTGTTGTAGTGATCTTGTACTATACTGCATTATGCTGACAGGTGAAACAATGGAATATGAATTCTTCCTCTTCAATCAGAACTCATTTTCTAATTCAATACGTTTCATTAATGCAAAACTGTCAATCACCTACTTTCAATCTCACACTCTTTTGCTAATATAGGGTGCGTTTTTCGTACAACGACGTAACTCGCTGCTTCACCACCATAGTACGACGCATCGTTGAACAAATCAACTATAGCTAGTCACGACTGTTTCCCGAAACCATATTTTTGCAAACCTGTCGTTCAACCACGTTGGTGAATGATGTCACGCAGGCGGTGGAGCAATAGCTTTTTTAAATGAATACGTTTGAGATCGAATTAATGCTAGATTTTTTTGCTATAAATTACGGACATGGCATCTGGGGACTAATTTTAATTTTTTTTTTTAATTTTGCTTTATTTCCAGATTCAATCTCTTTCTTGCGTACTAGAGCACGTAACGTACGCACATGCGCACTCTTCAAAAACGGTGCTTAAAATCTCGACAAACTAAAATATGTAAATTACATCTTAGGGTTAGGGTTAGGGTTGTTTTCTGGAGTTGTGCTGAACAATAACCCGCTCTATACACACATGGCCTCAAACAAACATTAATTGATTCGGACAGTACCATTAACTTCTCATATAATGTTAACGTTGCAGCTCCTGCAGTCAATGTTTAACTAACGGTGACGGTTGCAGTGCATATGAGAAAGGAGTTAACGTATAGTTTATTCAAGCACTAACTTTGTTAAAGACAAACGAGCCTTATCACACAAAACTACCATTATATTTTCCTTACATCACAGTGAAATAATAACTACATTAAATTTGCATTTGTCAAACAGAGGCAACATACATATTGATAGCATTGTTTGGCTAGCTTCAGCTAACACGTGCACAGTTGTCTGTAAAGTAATAGCCTAATAGTCGATCTTGCCACTAACCCTTAATTGAATGAAAAACACTTATTTTCGTTAAAATAACACATTTTCGAAAGCTTACCTTGTCTAAAAGCGATTTCCTTGGGCCGCGGACTGTCTTCACACTCGAAGCGATAATGGCGGATGGCAAAACTCTGGCTGGCGCGAACAAGGAGTTAGTTGATGTGACGTCATGTGGTCACATGACATGAAAACTTCTGGTTTAAAGTAAAAATACTACTCGAGTCAAATTGTTGCTTTTAATTTGTTCTAGGGGGTTCGTTATTTGCTTTAAGGCAAACTGAACAAAACAGGTTTAAACCAGAAACCATGATTTTCACTTAGTCCAATGTAAAAATGCACTTTAAATGAACAGCACAGTAGTTTCACTTTTTTCAGTGTATAGGCCTGAATTCTCAATTAAATTTAGCCGGTAGCAATTTGCATTCATCAAACAGACTTTCCTAATGTAAGTGGTATGACATTGTTTCCTCGGTCTCACTTGTTTTGTGTGTATGTCTGGGCAGTGTCTCCTGGGAAATGCTATCACCTGTATAATGGACTGAGGGCCAGCCTCCTGGTTAACTACCAGTTACCTGAGATCCAACGCACTCCACTGGAAGAGCTTTGCTTGTAAATAAGGTATTTAATCGGACACTCAGTCTGAGCATACTTCATTCACTAAAATACATGGTTAAATTACCCCTCAGAGAATAACAAAAGTATCAATCAATCTAGCTATATTTGAGTCACACTACACAGGTTTGGTGTCAGCAGTAGGTGTGTATAGAATCATGCTTGTTGGCAGTTCTCAGAGAGAGAGCTTCTCACTGCTGTGGTTTTAGGAAATTGGACTGAACATTTTCACTGGTGACTCATTAATGCTCTCCAACACACACACATTCGCTTCATTACGCACACACTCTCAACCTCTTTCCCCTGAATCTGTATGGCTCTAATGGGGCCTGAAGGCATAGGTTTCTCAAATAATCTCCGGGGACTGTAATATGCAAGCCCAAAAACAAACTAATGGATTAAAAGGGACATTAATCACTGTCATTGTATCTGAGAGGCAGTGTAATCGTCTAACAAGGCCTTTGAGCGGTGTCAATTACTGCTTATTTTCACCTCCACATGGCTGCCCAGTCCCAGTTCTCTCTGATGCTCAGCAGTACAGCGGGCACAAATAAATATTCACTCTCATTTATGCACACAAAGCCTTGGGGTTCATATAATCATTTGTCTGCTTAGATTGTGAGAAGTTATTTATAACAGTGTGGTCTATCTCTCTCTCTTTTTCTATATATTTTTTATGTCAGATACTGAAGTTGGGACCCATTGCGTTTTTCCTGCGAAAAACCATGGACCCCCCATCAGACAAAACGATAGAGCTGGCCATCACACACCTGGTGGACCTGGTGAGAGGCTAAAGTGAAGAAAGGGAAGAATAAATGATAGAATTGAAAAATAGGGTTGGAGTCATAAGTAAGGGATAATTTACAGTCTTCCATTACCGTAAAATAAATTGGGTAGTCAGGAACCCAGCGCGAAGCAGCTACATGGCTACTTAACAAGTAAATTAAATGGACATGAAAGATTACTTTGAGCGTTGAATACTAGGTAAGGCATAATCTAAAGTCATTATAGCGAAATAAACCCTGAGGTGAAGGTTCCTGGAAACCACTTATTACCAATTCACTAATTAAATGGACATGAAATATTTATTTGAGTTGAATGTACTTTTTGTAAGAGGAAATTGCATTTGGCATTCGCGATGGCGCCGACGCTGATGGCTGCCTCCGTGGCATGCTCCGCATTTGTTTTTATGTTTTTGTTAGTTTGTCCTGTCTTTAGTTATATCCCTGCAATCAGTTTCACCAGAGACGAATTGCTGGACATTCGGAAGTACACACCACTCAATATTTCACTGGTTTTCGATTGTTCTGATGTTTTGCTGGACATTGTAATCGGGGGAGCTGCAGCGCTGATCAAGCGCTTCAGGACGTGCAGACGGGGGAAGAGAGCCGGTGCCCTCGTGAAGCTCAGACAGCGCGGATTCAGAACGCCATTGCCTAGCATCCATCTGGTGAACCTCCGCTCTCTACCCAACAAAATGGACAAGCTCCTTCTGCTCTCCCAGACAAGGATTTTGTAAAATCTGCTGCTCTGTGTTTCACGGAATCCTGGCTGAAAGACACCATTCCGGACAGCGCGTTGAGTCTCCCGGGCATTCAGCTGTTCAGAGCAGATCGCGACGCAGAATCAACGGCGAAATCGCGCGGCGGCGGGACATGCTTTTACATCAATGAGAGGTGGTGTACAGATGTAACTGTGTTAAAGAAGATGTGCTGTTCAGATCTAGAAGTGCTCTTCATTAACTGTAAGCCTTTCTACTCTCCGCGGGAGTTTTGCTCGTTCATTCTAGTAAGTGTGTACATTCCTCCGCAAACACACGTGAGCTCCGCTTTACAGAAACTCACTGATCAGATCACAGACACAGAACAACAACACCCGGACTCTGTTTTAATCATTCTCGGGGACTTTAATAAAGCCAATCTCTCCCGTGAACTGCCAAAATACAGACAGCACATCACATGTCCCACCAGAGACAGTAATATATTGGATCACTGTTACACCACAATAAAGAATGCATATCACTCTGTCCCACGAGCAGCTTTGGGGCTCTCTGATCACTGTTTGGTTCATCTTATACCGACCTACAGGCAGAAACTGAAATCAGCTAAACCTGTATTAAGGACTGTTTTGACCTCACTGATTGGAGTGTTTTTGAAGCTGCTGCCCACCTGAAGGACATCACTGGACCCTTGCTGGATCCTCTTCTCTGTGTACGATGCAGTAAACATGGGACTGCATTATGTTCTGCAACATCTAGACAGACCAGGGACTTATGTGAGGATCCTGTTCGTGGACTTCAGCTCGGCCTTTAACACCATCATCCCAAACCTCCTCCTGCCCAAATTAACTCAGCTCTCCGTGCCCACCTCCATCTGTCAGTGGATCAACAGCTTCCTGACAGACAGGCATCAGCTAGTGAGGCTGGGAAAATACACATCCAGTACCCGTACGATCAGCACTGGAGCTCCTCAGGGCTGCGTCCTCTCCCCACTGCTCTTCTCCCTGTACACCAACGACTGCACCTCTAAAGACCCCTCTGTCAAGCTCCTGAAGTTTGCAGACGACACCACAC